TAAGTAAAGCTTAATAATAAATTTAATTTGATTTTATTTAGGCTGTGTGTTAACTATTCAAGTGCTGATGAAGGGTTAGTAAGGTTGGAATCCATTGTGGATAGATGTGTGTCATTTTTTGAATCAAAAGCCCTCTCCATACCAAACAAAGATGCAATAGCTAAGTTGATACAGCCATTGTTTGGTGCCATTCCATGTCGTATCTTTGAAAATAAGAAAAAAATTGTGGCATACAAGAAAATACAGCTAAGATCTGAGTCCAATGACAGTGGTAGTATTACATTACCAAGTATATGTGTACTTGCAGACATAAGTAACAATATATTGAAATTTGATATGCCTTTGACAGTAGCTTTGAATGGGCAAATTCAACAGTGCAGTACGCAGCACAGTTAAGGTTACCAATGGCTTATAATGGCAAAAAATAGAACAAAAAACATATTAAATACTTCAAATTGTTTACACTCTCAGAAATACTTTATTTAAATTATCTCGCCATTATTTCTCAACTTTGTAGGCTCCTCTTTCAAAGGAAGCGTAAATGTTTATCACGTGACCCATCAATCACGTGATGTAAGTAAATATAACATACTAATTAGGTCATTAATAAAATCAAGTATTGCAAGGGCTTACCCTTTTTCAATCAGTTATTTTTTACAATTAAACGATAGTAAAACTTACACTTACGACGAAAAGTGCTGCGAACCTAAAATATTTCCATCATATAATACCATAAAACACCGGGAAACACACGCAAACATGTCTTTTGGTGGTCACTACCAACATCAACATAAAATTATGCATCCAAAGAAGAATATTTCACGAGGTTCGCAGCAGTTTCCAAGAACTACAATCCTTTATCAACATGTCTGTGAAATTTCACAAGATTCTGTGCTATTTATGCCCTTGCAATAGAGCGTTTTAAATTGCCTACATCGTTTCCATCCCGCATCAGTCCAAAATAAAACGCATCAATGATCGTGATTAAAGGGAGATAATAAACAGACAAGGGCCATAACTTCACTTCTTAGCGAGGAAAACAAATAAGCTTTTTCCGTCTGTTTTGTAGTTTTTCCCTTTCATCATGAGAAATAAATCATTAAAATTTTTAATTCAAGCAAATATCTTCTCTTTCAGTTACACACGGATCGCTGAGCTATATGCAGTTGGTGCTAGCTGACGTAAACAAGCCCTACAACAGACTTCATACACATTTCCTTCACACTGGAGTTATAACATGTCTTGAACAATGAGGAATAAAAGAAATAAAATTTTCATCTATCTTTTTTATTTTTCATATTTTACATCCTTTCTCACAGGAATCTGGTCAAGTGAAGATCAGGTAAAGTAATTGCAGATGGACAATGCTAAGACGTCCTCTTCACACTGGTACCCCCCCCCCCCCTGCATTTCCTGAATTACATTAAAAAAAGACGTTTTCACAAATAAAAATTAATTACTGGAAAAATAACTGCATAACAGAACATTTAATACAATTCAAAGAAATTTAAATCCATTTAACAAACAGAAAATTTAAAATAAATTGAATTATCAAAAAAGCCTCTAAACCAAAATCAAACAGAAACAAACTCTGATTCAGCAAAAGTATCCAACATCAAAGCTCAGCATACATGATTTTAAAGCATTTCTGTGATTTTTTCATCAAAAACTTTATCTTAAAAAGGAAAATAAGGCTTCTAATTAAAATTAAAAATGAAGAAATATTTTAAAAAACAATAAACAATGCAATTTTTGGGCTTAAAAAATAAAATAGTGTTGTCTAAAAATACAAAAAAAATCAACAAATACTGAAAATAATTTTTTTTAAAAAAAATTACTAAAAAAAACTTTTTGTTAGAGAATGCATCATGGCGTCTTTTTGTTTAACCTTGAAAAATTGTAATGTACAAATATTGAACTTTCTTCATCAAAATGAATAACTGCAACTTTGCTAAATTGATGATAGCAAGATGTTACAAAGATTCTCAGTCAATTTAATGTGGGGAGAACGAAAATCAGACCATGTCAGCAGCATTTACACTATCATCTCCCCTGAAAATTTTTAGTAATCTGGAATCGCATCCAAAACGGAATGAATTCTACTTTTAAAATTGTCAAGCATGAATTTTCAAAAATGTATTTGCAATATGTGTTTTACAAGAATATCTTAAGATTGCAAAACTACATTACAAACAACAAGTATTGGAAAAATGCAAATTCAAATGGAGAAAAAAAGCAGTTTCTACACCAGTACTCACTTAAATCTTGGTGTGCACTGAAAGAAAGAGAAAAACATTTACATTCAATTGAAGGGTGTGTACAATGTGAGGTAGCAAGCCCGGCAGTTTCATCACTGCACAGATCGGTAAGCAAAGAAACTGAAAACATCATGTCCAAGACAGAAGAGCTAGTTGAGGAAATGAACACTTTGACTCCCAACAGAGCAGCAAATGCTTCTCAACAAATGCTCCATATATTAGAACCCATTTTTGAAAGCAACTTTTCGACAAGTTTGAAAAATGCAGTATCTTCATGCTACAATCTTACTGAAAAAAAATCAAGTGCTACAAAATATCAAGAAAAAATGAAAGAAAGCCAAAAAAGTAGTAATATTGTTTCAAATTTACTATCAAATGAAACAGAAATCAACTCCTTTCTTTCTTCTGGAACCTCTTTTAATCAAAGAGACAGAGATAGATTAGCTACCTATTTTGAGACCCCTGAGATTGCAAGGGAGAGAAGCGAGACACATGTTAAGGAGGTATCATCTGGGAAGAAAAAACAAAAGAAACATGTTGGAAAATTTCAAAATTACAATTTTGATCAGGTTGAATTCCAAAAATACATTGAAGCCCTTCCACTGGGATAAAGGTGAGTTGGAGAAAGCTCGCAATAAAATTCAATGTAAGAAATAAAAGTGGCATTATACCTTCCAATGGAGGCCAATTTCTGTTAGAGTATGCAAAGAGCTTAGGAGTAAAAACAACCAATTTTAATATTGAAAAACGGCTCAGTGGGAGAGATTATGTACAAAGAGTGAGAAGAGCAAAAATGAAGTTATATAAAAGAGTTTCAATACCCACTCCCCGACCAACCAAATTTCTCCACCAGGCAATTCAAAGAAAACTAAAAACGAGAGATTTATACATAGGAGAAAAGATTGCCCCCAAGATTTATAGACAAAACAAAATAACAACATCTGGTAGACTTGAAGAAACAACAAAGACGGTATATGGCAGGAAAATACCATTAGAAAATATTAGAAAGCAAATGAACGAAGACCAGTCAGATTTTTTAAGATGCAACAACCATGAAAATTATGAAAATCTGTCAAATCAAGAAATTCAAAAGAGGCTCACCTCTTATGACATGTCTATGCCCGAGAAAATAGAAGAAGCCCTGAGTGACCTTAAATTAGTGGAGAAGACCAGAAATCTTAAGTTTTGGCATGATCATAGTGACATTCTGAATCATAGCTATGTAAGTTTTATGGTGTCATCCCTGTACGACCCAGCTGTATATATATCTAATGAAGAATACAAAGAAAGATTCCCAGAGAGACAACCTATTGATGTGCAGAGTGCTGTGGAAAAGCCTTACCTATACATACTTGGTCAATCTAAATCTAGTGACAGGGATCAAATTACATACACAGATATAAGAGCAGAGGACCTTAAGGACTTGCACAAACCAACAGTACTGAAAGGACTTCAAATTATTGACAAGGTGAGGGTATTTAGTGGGGATGGACCCGCCCGTCAGTTTGAGGCAGGACAACAGAGAGGGGGTCATTACAGCTGCCTTTGTGGTATCAAAGTGTCAGAGCATCAAAACCTGGAATGCGCTATGAGATACCATACCCTATCCTTGAGAGAGAGAGTTGAAGTGTTTAAGCAAGGAATTATTTGGGAAAGGTTTTCAAATGAAAATATTTCCCCATTCACAAGTTTGAAAAAAGATGACCTGATTGATGAGTTAGAGGCTAGAGGCATTGACACATTTAATTTGTCAAAACTGGAAATGCAAGAAGAACTCGCCAAGACATTACATGGGATCCAAAGACCACCTGCTCTTCTCTGCGGCGAACACATTGAATTAGACACACTGTCAACGTATGAAATTCCAGCTTGTGAGCCACTCCACGATATCACAAATTTAGTCCAAAACCTTATAACAGAGCTCCCTTCACACATTCCAGACAAAAAGGTACAATCAGAATTTGAAAAATTTTCGGAGTCAACCATCGGTGATAAAAATCAGATCAAAGGCTCAGACGCTCGTTTATATGCAATAAAATTGGCAAAGTTCGTCTCCATTCAGCACTCAGAAAACAAGATCTCAAAAGACTTTCTTGATTTATGTACCTCACTTGTAGACATTATTTCAATTTGCTATAGCCATGAAAATGAGCGAAGTCCAAAGAAAATCTTGCGACTACAAAATCAGTGTTTTATCTTCAGCTATCTTTGTAAAACCATCATTGCCAATCCAAAAAAAATGACAGCAAGAAAGTTCTATGGCTGTCACTTTCACAGCATGACAGTGCATGCACCACAGACATACAGACTCTTCTGTCTTCGGTCTCTTGTGCCAGAAAAAGAGGAACGCTCTTTTGGAGATTTAAGATCAATATCAGTACGAACATCTAATAGACAATGCGGAAAAGTAATTGATAATGCTGTGTTAAGGTACAACGCTCAACAACAAAGTGGCAAAAAGGACAGCTATAAACAACAGGAATCCATTATTAGCCAACAAGCTAAACTACTTCCACCTACAAATGATTCAACTTTTCCATTAGACCTCCTGAAAAAACGACCATACCTGTTCCAGACTCACTGTGAACAGATTGCTGACTATCTCCAACAAGGGCAACACTACTGGTGGTCAGTGAAAGATGATTGCATTGTTTTCCATGATGGGCCATCACATCCTGAAAAGCCACTTCCGTCCATGATGCACTTCCGATCAAAAACATTAGGAGATCAACAAGAGAGGACTTCCAGGGCCTGGAGATCATGCATTTCAGACTTTGAACTACAGAAAATCCAACTGCCTATGACAAAAATTAAGGTCTTTGATGGAGAACAAGCAAGAGTTATAAAGAATGATGGTAATTACCAACTCAAACCACTATTTTAATAACCAGAATAATAATTATTAATGAAGTGTATCAATTCAAAAAATTTGAAAATTAAAAGATTCTATAAATGGAAACAGTCAAAAAGTAATTACATGAAGTAAATGCTCCATAATGTATTCAACAATTTGTATAGGGATATTCCTTGTTCATTTCTTTCAGCTCTTTTTAAGAAAGAGAATGCAGACAGTTTTGGAAAAGAATCACACAGAGGCACAGGTACTTTTAAAACCTTTCTGATCTTCCACATCATAAATATACAAGTCAGTAGAGTTTACCCTAAGAAAATGCCAATCTGAGAACCTAAAATTTAAGATCTATCTATTACCAAACAAAACAGCTCAATAAATCACCAGTATTTAACAGAATAAAACCAAAAGTTAAATATTAACAAAGTTGCACTTAAACTTCAGAAACAGAAATCAAGGCAGATAACTCCCAAAAGCATAAAAGCCAGTCCCATGTGTTAAACAGAAAACAATCAGGTATTGACTGTAAAATAAAGTAATGATCAGAATTAATTTTCCTGTTATAAAACTTCATTTTCCTCTTGAACTTTCATAAGGTGTATCTTCAGGTTCTGTTCTCACATATGAAGGTGATGCTAATTCTGATGGCAATGGTGGAGGACAAACTAGGACAGGATTGGAAGCTGAATCCACTGTTTCTAAAGTTCAACATTCTCCAGGTACAGTCCTACAAAGATTAAATTATCATGTAATGATTTATGATCACAATTCAACTAATGCAACTATACAAAATGTCTTCTAAATTATCACTTTTCATGTATTTCAAAAGTATTACACATGTGCTTAAGTTTAAAATGACATTTAACCCTGCATCATGCATTTATTGAAAAAGAAACATCTGAAAGTTTCTATTCTTAAAAGGCAATGTAAATTAAAATTTTATCATCACACAGTACCCCACATACTTATTTTAAATAGCAGTAAGCCTATGAGCCACAATGCTCACCTCAATCAACTTGTTCCTGTTGTTCTTAAAAAAAAATCCACCCTTTATAGGGCTTTGCTTTTCATTTTTCTACATGAAAATCTCTTCACACAATTTCCTATATAAATCTTCTATCCTTCATGAGGCCCCAACCTACCCTTGGATCATGATTTAAAAAAAACTTGAATTTACATTATGCATTGCTTTCAGACAAGTTACAACCTTTTTTGGATAGTGGTTCTTGAAAAGAAAGATGTTCATTTCAGATTTTAATATCCCACCAAAATTTTCAGAAATTTTAAAGTTTACAATTTGGTGAATAGATAAATGAACAACAGAAACAAGAGGCCCAGGGGCCACAGCGCTCACCTGAGCACATCATTTGAATAATTTTTAGGATACCATATAAATATCACAAATCATAGCTTTGAAGTACTTTTCCTGTATATCCCTGTGTAAAACTTGGGTCAAATTTGATTTGAACAAATTTGAAACACTACCTGAGGATGATTCCACATGAGTTTGGCCCAGCGGTTCTGGAGAAGAAAATTTTTTAAAAATGCCATAAATTTTTCACAAATTCATAATTATCTCCCCTTGGAAGGAGGCGTGGCCCTTCATTTGAACAAACTTGATTCCCCTTCACCCAAGGATACTTTGTGCCAAGTTTGGTTGAAATTGGCCCAGTGGTTCTTGAGAAGAAGATGAAAATGTGAAAAGTTTACGACAACGACGCCAACGACGACAACGACAACGACGACAGACAACGGACAAATTTTGATCAGAAAAGCTCACTTGAGCCTTCGGCTCAGGTGAGCTAAAAAGATGTGATCAGAATAGTTCACCTCAGCTTTCAGCTCAGGTGAATTAAAAAAAAATTAAGCATATGGCTCAAGTGAACTAAAAATGTTAACCAGTTGCAATTTCAGAGGAAGTTGCTGGTACATGTAACTCAGAAGGCATGGACTTGTTCAGTGGAGCCAGAGTCACTGTTGATGAACGTTCATGTGATGGCATGGGTGTAGAAGCTGTGACGGAGATGCATTCTGAAAACAAAAGATATTCATCATCAGCAGGTGTAACAAACAAAATTTGTGTAAAATTATTGCTGTATCTAGAGGAAAAGTTGGAAACATATATTTAATTTCACTTTTAAAACATACTATCAGTTACTAAATTATGAGCTAATAATATGAATCATCTCGCAATTTGAGTTGAAGGTGAAAAGGACTCACAAAGCTTGGACCTGAACAGTGGAGTCCGGGTTGTGGATGGTGCACTCTCATTTGACGGAGAGGGTGTATGTGCCACATCAGATATCCATTCTGGAATTGAAAAAAATCCAGCATTAGCAGGTATCACAGACAATATTTTGCAAAAAAAAATTACACTGACCTTGATAAATCTAGAAGAAATATTTGAATTTTACAAGCCTACTTTTACCAATATTTCATGATATTAAGGACATATAAAATGCACTTTAACCTTATTGATACTTTATGTATTTTAAATATAAACAAATTAAACAGCTAATTAACTAATGCATTAAGGCCCCACAGTGCTCTGGCTCAAAAATGTTAGTTTGGATCCTGATTGATTGTGACTGGACTTGTAGGCATGCTGAAATACATGTACATTCTTGGGTTAATAAAAAACAGCTCTCTATCAATCTAAAATTATGAGGCTTTCTTTTGGGTATCAAACATGGTGTTCAAAACAAGGGCGCACAAAGATTGTGGTGGTTTCACTTGGTTCTGATTTTGAATAATATACTAATCTAAATGCCAAGTAGAAATAGCTGGCATAAGTGTTGCTATATTCTAAAGATGGTAACCTTAGTGTCTACGTAAGTAATTTTACACAAAATATAGAATCAAATGTTTACTTGCCTAATATTCAGCTTTTCTTCATTTTTTCTAATTTTGTTTAAAATTTTCTTGTTTAAAATTTCAAATATTATTACGACAAATGTAATTGTATCCATTGCATGACACTTTATAGTTGGTTGTTCAAGAGAGCTAAATGTAAATACATGTAATCAAAACCTAGACGCAGGTGAATTGCTTTTAACTTTACAAGCCTTTTTCAAGGAAAAGATGTACAGACAGACAGGGTGATTTTTTTAGAGCACATCTAGGGGCCCTTAAAACATATCATTAATCTGAATTTGTAAAATAAAAATTAAAACAAAAAAAGAACCAGATACAAATGATAATTGCGCTGGAAATGTAGATTCAAGTCCAAACGGGGATATGGCACATGCTGGTGGAAAAACAGATAAGGCTACAGACTCAAGAGAAAAGGACATTGGCAGCTGCTTGAAGACTTGTCCAGATATGGAGGCCAAAATTTGTGATAAAGATGGGGTTGCTGTCTCCGAAATTCCTCAATTATCAGGCAAGTGTTGAAAACATTGTAACTTTTAACCTGCAAGTACTGGTAGACAAAAACAAACTCTACATTTCAGTATCATGTTATATATGTATATCTTTTGCATACATCAATGATAAGAAATTCATCCTTACTTTTTAGCTACACTACCACGTAAAAATGCAAAAAGGAAATTGTTTGCTAATGAAACAGGTAAATGGAAGTACTAAAATCTTTGTTAAAAAGAAACTGGTTAATAGTTGCTTATCAGAATTTACAATATACATGATTGAACTAACATTTCATGAAATGTTACCTTTTTTTCATTTAGAAGAAAACTTCTTGTCAAAATCAAATAAAGCTGGCCCCTGCAAGAGACATGAAAAATCAGGTATGCATGAACAAAAAAAATGTCTAATTACAAAAAAAGAACGACTTTTTAACAAATTTCTAATATTTATACTATATTCATAGAGTTCACAGGATTGACAGGAAACAGACAAAATAGGACCAAAAAAACAGGTAAGTTTAAAACAAAAAGAAACAATAGGTTTGTTCATACATCAAGATTTATACAATCACTCATAAAATTTTACATCCCTAATCACTTATTAAAATAAACAATTTATTTAAACCATGAGATCATAATTTGATTATCTTGAAAGCAAGTCGCCTGCAGTTGTTTTGCCTATACATGTATTTCAATCAGTGACCTTGTACTAGTATTATATATGTCATTGTCTCTACTTAAATCACTCGTGGACAAACTGGCAGAAAAATTATCGTATGTAATTCAATATGCTAGGTCATTTAATTGGCTGCTTCACAGAGTTGTGATGCCAAACAAAGAATTACAGTTCACGTTAGGTATGCATGCTCGGCATTGCCAAAAACATGAAAAACTCAATTTGTAGTTAAGACAGCTGATAAATAAACACATCAGCACATTTTGCAAAGAGAAATAAGTACTCCTATATAATATCTGACGGCAATTGATGTCAGTGACCTGTACGAATTGACTTTCTGAATTTGTTTTAATTGAAACTTAAAGCGTGTGTCAAAATATTTACCATAATAGCTATGTAATAAACATATTTTACAAAATTGAAGAGTTCCAACTTTCTGATAGGTTGACTAAAAACAACAAATTAGCATTTTTTGCAGCGTTGTTTTAGCTAGCTTGCCCAGAGGTGATAAGACGAGATCACACATAGGTTTCCGATGATGTATATATGTGTGTATAAACCAATTCTAATTACCATACAACAGATTCCTTCAGATGCAGAGTCCATGACCAGGAAAATACACAGCCTTCTACCCGGTGACCCCGTTGCTGAGGAATATTTCAAATACAGAAGACTCCTCAAGGGAAGACCACATGACAGGATCCTTGCTCAGTCCTATGAGGTGTCACTGGCAAAGCTTCAGACCACTATAAGCAAAATTCACAATAATCTTAAAAAAACAAATGGCGATGAACGACTTCTTAAAGATGCAGAAGACCTTATGATTCATTGGGGGATATATTACTTCTAACACTTTCTAAATTAAGTGAAAAAAATATAAGCTATGAACAACAATAGAAAATTTGCAGCACTGTACTACATATATAGTGTGAAAATAAACATCAGTATCTTGAAAAGTAATTAAGTAATGATATGTACGAGTCATTCTGAAGTACAAAGAACTTTTTAATTTTTGGTATTTTACTTTAAAATACTGATAATCTGAAAATTTTATGATTGATTAACCTTTAGCGATTTTGTGCATGCATTTGAAAAAAAAAAATTGCATAATGACATCAGCAAGATATGTAGACAATTAAATTAAAACAAATATTAATAAATGTTTTGATCAATTTACAGAATATATTTAAGACCATAATAAAAAAAAATTATTCTGAGAAGTGTATGGCTTTTATTTTTTCATTGTAAATACTCCATCACTGCAGAGTTCCATATACTTATACTTCTTTCCTTCAGCCTCAGAGTGTATGGAATAAAAATTGAGATAACCCCCTTACAGCCTAGATAATGATCGTATTCACAGTACTTATTACTCTACACCTGTGTGCGATACTTTTCTAAGCAACAACCGGAAACTATTGGTCTACAAATATTAGGGATGTAATCCAAAAATATCGCTATAATATCATGATATTTTTACACGCAACGAATAGTCATTATTTCTCTTGAAATATGCCAGAAAACAAGTTTTCACTTTATTGAAATTTTTTATGTCCATAAAATCAATCATGTTTGGACAGTGAGATGCCATTTTTTTTCAACTTTTACAACATTTTTTTTTTTTACTTTCCTTAATCTTATTTGAAACATTGAACAAATAAATGAATAATTTCTGGACTTTATGATATGTAACTTAATACTGGTATTTGGGTCTCCATATCACGCAATAAAACCAGAAGTCTCTGTCGAGACTGTAGCTCTACTGGTTTGTACTTATCAAAAACCATTGCACTATTTTATGTATCTTTGTGTAGTCTACTTGTGTGCCAACCTATTTTGAAATCAAACTAGAACTGTAGAAGGAGTAGCGTTTTTAAGGAATTTCACAGAAAATTCTATTTTTAGTAACCATGGTAATACGAAATCAGAAACAGATGCACTATTCTATGTATCTTAGTGTAGTCTACTTGTGTGCCAAGTTATATTGAAATCAGACACAATAAAAGAATTTCATTCTATTTTTAGTAACCATGAAAACCGTTCATAAAATTAAAAACTGATGCACTATTCTATGTATCTTTGTGTAGTCTACAAGTTATATTGAATTCAGACAAAACTGTAGAAGGAGTAGTGTTTTTAAGGAATTTCACAGAAAATTCTATTTTTAGTAACCATGGCAACACCGTTCAACAAAATCAAAAACCGATGCACTAATGTATCTTAGTGTAGTCTACTTGTGTGCCAAGTTATATTGAAATCAGACCAAAACTGTAGAAGGAGTAGCGTTTTAAAGGAATTTCACAGAAAATTCTATTTTTACCATGGCAACAAAGTTCATCGAAATCAAAAACCGATGCACTATTCTATGTATCTTAGTGTAGTCTACTTGTGTGCCAAGTTATATTGAAATCAGACCAAAACTGTAGAAGGAGTAGTGTTTTTAAAGAATTTCACAGAAAATTCTATTTTTATAACCATGCCAACACCGTTCATCAAAATTAGAAACCGATGCACTATTCTATGTTTCTTTGTGTAGTCTACTTGTGTGCCAAGTTATATTGAAATCAGACCAAAACTGTAGAAGGAGTAGCGTTTTTAAGGAATTTCACAGAAAATTCTATTTTTAGTAACCATGGCAACACCATTCATCGAAATCAAACACTGATGCACTATTCTATGTATCTTAGTGTAGTCTACTTGTGTGCCAAGTTATATTGAAATCAGACCAAAACTGTAGAAGGAGTAGCGTTTTTAAGGAATTTCACAGAAAATTCTATTTTTAGTAACCATGGCAACACCGTTCATCGAAATCAAAAACTGATGCACTATTCTATGTATCGTAGTGTAGTCTACTTGTGTGCCAAGTTATATTGAAAACAGACCAAAACTGTAGAAGGAGTAGTGTTTTTAAGGAATTTCTCAAAAAATTCTATTTTTAGTAACCATGGCAACACCGTTCATCGAAATCAAAAACCGATGCACTATTCTATGTATCTTAATGAAAGTTATTGAAATCAGAAAAAATTTGGAGTACATTGTTTACAGACAGACGGACAGACAGACGGACAGACAGACAGACAGACAGACAGACGGACGGACGCCGGACGCATTACTATCACATAAGCTCTTCTGGTCTCTGACCAGTAGAGCTAAAAATCACGATACACCAGTATACCGATAAGATCTCACATCCCTAACAAAATCTAAAATTCTATTTAAGGAATGAATTTAATAGCTACCCATTTTATACGGTATAAACTGGGTTGGGGCAGTTAACGCTTTATAAACCGCGAAGCGGTTTATAAAAAAGCGTAAACTGTTCCAACCCAGTTTATACCGTATAAAATGTGTAGCTATTAAATTCATTGCTTATAATTTAATTTTCATTCTTTTGATGTAAGAAAAAAAATTATTGTTCTAAAAAATGACTTTAAATTGTACAAAATTTGAATGTAACGTCAGGCGGATTGATACGTTTTTGACGAAAATCATTGTGACGTAGGCAACCCATTTTATATAATATAAAATAATTTTTTATCCAATGAAATACAGCGTTACAACCAGAATTAAAATATAAACCTATAATTATAATTTTAAATGGGATACTAATTAAGATGAATCAACCATATACAGGTGAAACTTGCATTATGAATAAGTAAATCATGTGCCACATAGGTATTGCAAAATGGATCAGATTTAAGGAAATTTGAGATACATTGTTGGAAATTTTGAAGCAATAATTTGGAGAAAAACACGGTGCAATTTCCTACAACTTCACATGAAAAATTGTAATGTGTAAAACAGCTGCATTTACTCTATATATAGCCAAATCCTGCAGTCTTAAATATTTACCTATACATATCGGTCAACCATTAATTTCGCACATTGTTTTCTTCTTCAAACTTTCACAATCATGCAGTGCTCTTCGTTTACGGTACATCACAGTGTCAGCTGTAAAATCAAGTCCACATCTGTGGGATTGAAAATGAAAGTTGAATATGGCAACTTAAATTGTGATCCCAATCAGAATCAAGATAATTATATACATGTTTAACATAACCGTGCGCTTTTTCGCCCGAGATGCTAAAATTTTGTCATGGGCTAGCAGATTTGCACATATTGACGCTCGGCTGGATATGTAAAATTTTACCATAAATCAATATTAAGATATTTGATAAAACTTTTTCAAATCAACTTATATATTATTTCCAGTCAAGCAAATGTGTAGAATTCATCAGCCTATAGGTCAGAGATCAAATTATATTATGATCCATTTACATTATGCTATAAAACAAACTTATAAAAGACAAATTTTTTTTTTCGGGCTAGTAAATATTTGGCAGGTCTGACAACTTTCACTGGCAATCAGCCCTGCATGTCTATATAGCTAATTATCTGCCAGTTTCGAACACTGACAGTGAATGTGAAATTTTAATGACAATGTTGTACATATTTTGTTTTATATCACAAGCATCAGAAACTTTCATAGACATTTTTAAACTGAAAAAATACCCAACATGCGGTTGGGACTGTTTGACAATGCTATTTGTTTCTACATGTACAAAATGGAAGTATGTTTGCTCACTCACAGCATATTATGCATATATACATGTTCATACAACAAACCTATCCATCTTGGAAAAGTAATGCCAAACCTAACTTTATTAATAATGCCTTGCCAGATATGTTCCGAAGGTTTAATTTCTTTTTTTTATCATTCTTGTTTTTATTAACCTCAAACAACTTGTCTCATCTCCGATTATCTCGCGTCTCGAGACCTTGTCCCCATTAATCATGTTGATATTACCAATGTCGTTTTTATGAAGGGAAAATCACAAAAATAATGTAGTTTAAAACTAAACACTGACATAAAACATTGGATTTTAGCACAGAAAGATAATTTAATTGGCTACAAATATGTTTTGTTTCGTGTCAACCCCAATTTTTTCCCACGACAGCCAAATCAGGGCCACGTGCGTTGTACAGTGTTTCAGCTGTCAACTCTTTCAACACATGATTATCGTAAAAATAACAAGTTAAACTTTATATATTCTTCTTATATATGAACAAGTTTACTTACCCTACTTGCTTAATCTTTCTCCGACTTCCCATCTACAGCAATATTGCAATATTTGTAAGAAATGGATCTCCACCGTCGCACCTGTTTACTTCTTTCCTCGCAATGGCCGTTCAAGCGTCGAAGTGATGATGAGTGATTTGCACACGACAACATATTTTTCGTTAAACTAAGCGACATTTTAGAAATTCCGTTGTATATTGATGACAAATATTGCACACAAAATAAATGATTTTCTAAATAACTATTAATCTATGTGAGCTTCTTTTTTTCTGTAAGAAACGGACTTTTAAAAATCTCATGAATAATGGGCGGAGTTAATGTCAAAAATATCACGTGGTATTAAGCCCCGCCTTTCCATTTCAGCCTTAACTGTGCTGCGTATCTTCTTTAACAATAGCAGAGCAAATATGAAAATCAGAAATGTGTCCTTTACAATTGGCTTTGATTTGTTTCCTACTCAAAAAAATGTGGATGGCATCATTCATCTTGTAACAGTAATTAAACTTTGCAATGGAATGGAGTGGGCAAATGAAATTTTATCAACCACTTGCCCGTGGGCAAGTGACATAAAAAATAAATCAAGATGTTAGCCATAGATTTAAAGCTGGGTATAGAGGCTTGCATGATCTACTCAGTCTTTTTTTGAAATATTTATAAATACAGTATTATTTAGTTTATGGTAGGGCAAGCAAAAATTCACCTAGGGCAAGTGAATTTTGACCATGTACTTGCCCGTGGACAAGTGCCTTAAAAATCTATTTGTCAGCCCCTGCTTCATGATGAAAATCAATTTGAAAAAAGAACATGGAGTAAATCATGTAAAGTCATTTTGAATTGGACAGTGAAAAACACCTATTGTGAAGTGTGCTTTGACTCTGTAATGAAAAACAGAAAAAGAAAAAATGTAACTTTAGAAAATATAACAGTAAAAAAAAGCAAATACACAGAATCCTATAAGGAAAATTCGGACAGTTTACAACAAAATTCTGTTGGAAAGGCCTCATCTGGAGATTTACAGGTTAATGAATTAAACAGAATGGAAAGAACTGAAAAATTGATTATTCCATCTGATATTGAATTGAATTCTAAAGATCACGAAGATATGCATTTTATTCTGAACAAGGTCATTGAAAATGGTGCACCCAAAAAATTTCAAGTTCTTTTAGAATCACAGCTACAAAACTGTAAGAAAGGGCTAGATAAACATCACAGGAGGTGGGATCCAGAGGTGATTAGTATATGTCTGAATTTATATATTAGATCCCCCAAAGGCTATCAAGACCTTAAGAACTCTGAGATTCTTGTACTACCATCACAGAGACTTCTGAGATATTACAAAAATTCCATAAAACAAAGTACTGGTTTCAATAGTGAAAACATAAATTGGATGAAAAAGGAGGCAGTAAGACAAAATGTGTCTTCCTGTGGGATGAATGGAGGAGTAATAATAGATGAAATGTCTATTCAGGATGATTTAGTTATCCAAAAAAAAGGAGACTCTTGGAATTTAGTTGGATTTGTTGACATGGACACTACAAACAACAATATTGCTATCATCAGTCAAGGAGAGAAAAAGGGTGAACTGGCAACTCATGCCCTGCAGTTAGTTTTCCACGGACTTACTGGATTTCGGTATGTAAATGAGTTCTAACAATTACTCACTGAAAGAAGAAATTGATAATTTACCTTTAATAAATATCTGTTAAACATTACATCTGAAATTGAAACAATAAATACAGGTACTGATTCAAAATCAAAGTTTATTGGTATAATCCTATTTGTGGTTTTGTTTTAACAGATGGCCTGTTGCTTATTTTGGCTCGAGAACAGCCACTGCCCACCAGCTATATAATGTATTTTGGAAGTGTGTAGATGTTCTGAATGAAAACGGATTTACAGTGGATTATGTCATGGCGGATGGAGCTTCCACCAACAGGTCTTTCCTTAACATGATGTTTGATACCAACCCAAGGGAAAAGCTGTTTCAATTCCCTGATGTGTATGACATTAAACACTCTATCTGTGCCATTCAAGATATAATGCATGTCCTAAAGAGAATCAGAAATAATGTAGAATCGAGTAAACTGGAACATAAGGAAAAGAAGGACAGACTGTTGGTTTTCAATGACTCCTATATTGTGTGGGACTATTGGGTGGAATGTTTTAAATTTAATATCCAAAATGGTTTTGCAATTCATGCTAAACTTTCCCCCGAACATATAAATCTTACAGCTGCTTCAAAGATGAGAAATTCCCTTGCATTAGAGGTGCTGAACAGAGACATGCTCTTCCTCATGAAAAGCTATCAGTCAACCCTGCAGGATCCTGAAAAACTAGCCTCGGCAGTTGAAATGTTAGAGCATACATCTGTCCTTGTAGATGTTTTCTGCAACTGTCATCAACCTTTCCTTTCTCTTGGTGATTTCAGATTTAAATCTCTGCAGAAGTCTTTGGACTTTTTCAATCAGTGGGAAAATGAAATTGAACAGTCAGTGTTGTACAAAACAGAAAAGAACTTGATAACACAGGAAACAAGAGATGATTTAAATTCGACAATAAGCGGGTTTATGTCACTATGTAAACTAAGACTGGGGAAAGGGAACAGTATTAACCCAGGATTTATAAACTCTGATATAGTTGAAAATCTATTTGGTCAGCACAGAGGCATACGAAATGGTTTAAATGACAATCCAACTCTGTCCCAGTATGGTCCATCTACAACAGCAATAATCCTAGGACAATGTAGTGTGTCTAACAAGTGTAACTCTGGCAAAACAGCTTCATTTTATTCAGCATCTACTCCTTGTGCACTAAACATGGCCAGGAACAAGGTTAACAAGAAGGAAAAAAGGCCTCTTTGTATGTGATGTCACTGTTCATTTTAAAAAAATGTAAATGTAAATAAAGGTTTGAGAATTTGTCATTGTTTTATAAAATAGTATCCATATTTCCTTTCAAGAGTGACTGAATTATTTCTCAATAATTAAAAAGCAGAAATTTAGGAGTGCCCCACCTAAAGAAAATATTCTTTCCTTATCATATTTATCAATTTAATTCATAATGATAATTTTGTTGCCAGTTACTGTTATTCCTATTATCATTACATCCATTTATGTTTTACTCTTACTTAAAGATCATTGACAATAAAAATATTTCTATGTGCAGCTACATAAATATTTGATGATTAAATATGTTTATCTATTTATAAGTACAAAAAATTTCATGTTTATAAAATATTAAGCCAAGATTCCAATTACTCCCTGACATCCCCGCTGACTCACTTACTCAAATTGGTTCACGTGACAAAATGAGAGTTAGAGGAATTTCGGATTAAAATAGTATATACATGACATCTTCTTAGTTTGGTGCTCAGAACTGCAAAGAAACGTAACCGCACGCAAATATAAATTTGTACCTTAAAATATGCGTTTTCCCCGTACCACATTGTCCTGTAATAATGACATTATGTCCAGACAGAACCAGCATCTTCACTTTCTCGATCTCGGAGTCGGACATTTTGGCGCTAAATTGGATTGTCTTTTCCTGATTCACTGCGGGAGTCACTTCCGGTTTAGTGGCATGGAGTCCAGGATGAGCTGACAAGGTGGAAAAAAGGCCATGGACGGCCTGTACTTTCAGGCAGATTGGATTTTTTAACTTGAATAAATAGTACAAACACTCCGGATACTGAATTAGTCGCGAAATTAATTTGAGCAAACCCAGATGTATTTGTTTAGCTGGGTCCCCTCAAAACTCGTTGCCATCCTGGGGTTTTTTTAGTTAAGGGTAGGAAAATTTTTTTCCGGATTTTTTTTTTTTAAATAATTTTTTTTACGATAAAAACTTCAGACTCCTGTGCTAATATCAAATCAAATTTTGCATGTTACATATATATAAGATATATAAAAATAAGTAGAATATTTTCTACCATTCTTTCAAAAAAAGTAATGGTGAAGGTGAATGGAGTAAACTAAATGTATATGAGAATATATCTATTCAATACCTAAGTAAGACCTATAAATATTTATTCTCAGGAAATGTTTACCCCTCTCTCTCTCTCTTTCTCTCTCTCAACTTGGCAAAAAATAAAGGGGGGGTTCCAACCCCCGGAACCCCCCCCCCCCTTTGGATCCGCCAATGTCTTTTTTTCAACATCATCAACCTCCTCAGTGGACACTGTGTTCGACATATTAGTGCCAGATACAGCACCAGCTGCATCGGCTTTGAACGAGTTTTTACCTATCGAACTTAATGCACCTAACACTCAAGACTGAAGATATTGAGCTGAATACCTACCCTTCTACTCCAAGGCATGGAATGGTAAGATCGAGAACGAGAGAAATGAAAAAAAATTGTACAAATACTTTTCTCTCAGAATTAGCATGTTCATTGCCAGAGCGGTAGATACCATACACCTCCCCATGTGTCCGCACCACCCTCAGACACACCAACTGAAAACATTGAATTTACAATTTTTACTACACCTCGATTATCTTCCACACCCCTATCATCTACCACAGACAATACACTCCAGTCAACGTCAACGCCTCGCACTGATGTAAGCACGTCAACTCCAATGATGAGCGTTACTGATCAAGCAACCTCCGTAACTGACCTTACAACATCAACAGACAACAAAAAACTTCTTGACTCACCGATAGCTGCACATATGCTACTATTACGTCACAGATAGCGCAAATGGCAAAGAGTTAATGTACTAAAGTATTCCATTTAGGTCCCTATGTCAAGGAGAAGTTTGTGGACGACGGCAAATAGAAATCTTTTTTTTCTGAATTTATCTGTTCCTTTTTTAGCCTTGCGGATGTTTCAGAATTGAATTTCAACTCTCTCTTTGTTGTTGCAGTACAATGCGAGAACCGCCACTACGAGCCAAAGATTCTATTTATACATGATCGAGGTATTTATAACAGTATTTTTACTTCTTTGTATATTATGGTTGTAGATTTTTGTGATTCTTGAAATAAAATATATTTTATCACGTGTGTTATTAGATCAAATGACTGGTACAGAGATAGAAACAGAGTTGATGAACAAAGGACTAAAGAAACAAAAGACAAATTTTCAAAAGCAACCTATAAGAAAGAGAAGTATGTTTCACTTAATGTTTTGT